CCTTGCCTGGAGACATGCTAACGTGTTGGATTCCTGCCACATCTCCTCGTGGAGGGGAAGAGCAAGCCTCCTGGGCATCTGCTTTCGGCAAGAAACAATGCTGCTTTTCTTCCGAAAGCATAATATTAATGTGGGGGGAAGAGGTATTTGTCGGTGGGATTAGCCCTGCTGTGGGAAGGGTTGGTTGGCCTTGTGGCCAGCTCGTGCTCCGGCTCAGTCGCTGGCTGGAGAAGCTCGTAGCCCTGGCCTCTCCCGTCATCTCGGACCCGTAGCCGCGCTGTTAAAACAGTGCCTCTTGCTGTAGGCATTTCATCAGCCTAAGGCGAAATTCGTGCTCCAAACCGGTGTTACCTTTTACTTGGGTGGGGACAGATCCTAAAGTTAGAGCAGATGAAACTGCTGTTGGGTCAAAAAACCTCCCTGCCCAGCGAGGACAATAACGTGGAGCCTGCAAAAGCATGGGGAAACGTGTAGCTCGCAGCTCGGACTCAATAAATACCAAGCTGCCCCTTACGAGTCCTCCGGTGGGGACAAAGCCAGGCTGGAGGACGGCGAAAGGTCTTCCCGAAGGGGCAGGCTGCAAAATACGGCCCCTCAGACCTGGAAAAGAGCGGGCTGCTCTTAGCGTGGCGTCAGCCACCCACTGCCTGTGGCTTATCCTAGAAATATTTGTCCGTGCAGTTAACCCGTCTCCCGGAGTCGTGACCCAGCTTGTCGGCTTAACGCAGCGTCGGCAGAGCCTGCAGTGAATTAGCTCTGCCTGCACATGCAGCCGTCATCCCGGCGGGGACGAGTGAGCACGATCTCTGGGAACCTTCCGGAATCGCTGCGGCTCTGACATGGCAATCGATGCGGACGTCACGTAAGAGGCAAGAAAATTGGCCCTAAATCAGTAATGCTCGGGGCTCTGGGAGCCGTTCCTGCCGCGCTGCGGTCCTTCCTAGGCTTTCAAATGAAGGTTTCTAAATGGCAGCGTCTGCTGTCTGACCTTCCCCTTTTGGGGAAGGGAAAGTAGGAGGGGCAGCTTTTTACCAAAGTTACTTTCTCGTGTGGCTTTCCCACCCGCTGTGGCTGCGGGGAGGATGCGTGGAAGGCCGGGAGGGACAACCCACGCTGGAAATTTGCTCTCTTCGCATGCAAAGTTCGAAGGCGATTCGGGCTTCCCGCTCCCCTGCCAGCAGGGACCACCCAGCCCCATCCGTGCTGCTCCCCTTACCTGCCGCCCGGCGGTACCCGCTTCTGGTGCGAGCCGGCTCGCCCAAACCCCGTAACGTCCCTCCTGTCATCGCTGCCCGGTCCGGATCTAAATCCCAAGCCTGGAGCTGAGCAATGAGCTGCCGTCCTGCTCCGTCGTGATGGTTCAGCGTTGCCTCTCGCTGCTCGGTGACCCGGGCTTTCCGCTCAGCGCAGCAGCGTTTCCATCGGCTGATGGGCTCGGCGGAGCTGCTGCGCTTGCGCCCCTTGGGTCTTCTCCTAGGGCTTAATTTAAATTAAGCTAGGGCTTAATTTAACGGGGCTTTTCTCTTTATCGTGTAAACTAATTTGACTTTAAAATTGGTCTGAAGGCATCGCCTTTCAGGGGAAAAAAGAAGATACCAATTAGAGCCCGGTATATAACTATTTTTGGTCTTTTATTGTGCTGTTCCCTACGTGGCGATGCAGGTGGGGTCTACGTGTGCACGGCTTGGAGGCGTGCAAAGAGACGGTCCCGCTCCTCAGCAAGCCTCTCTCCGCAGACGCGGTGTCGGTACAGTTTCTTCCTTGGGAATTTCCAAATCGCGCAGCGGATTTAAACAGCGAGG